GAGATACAGTAGGCCTTTCCATGCTGCTGGTAGACTTCAAGAATGCTTTTAACTTGGTAGATCGTGAGGCTATGCTGTATGAGGTACGTTCTCGCTGCCCTTCTCTCTCGCGATGGGTTGAGTTCTGCTACTCCCGCCCCGCCAGGTTGTATTATGGGGAGCACACCTTTAGATCCTGCCAAGGGGTCCAGCAGGGTGACCCCCTTGGCCCACTACTTTTCGCCTTAGCGTTGCATCCTTTGGTCCGTAAGATTCAAGACACCTTTGACTTATCTCTACAGGCTTGGTACTTGGATGATGGCACGATTGTGGGAGACACCCTGGTTGTGAATAAGGTCCTTCAGTTGATCATGGAGGATGGTCCTCAGTTTGGTTTACATCTTAATGTTGATAAAACTGAGGTTTTCTGGCCTAATGAGGATCCTCGGAGCCGGCTCCCTGGAGTCTTCCCAGACAATATTGCTCGACCTCAGCTTGGGGTCAAGGTCCTTGGTGGACCTGTTAGTGTAAGTGATGACTTCAGTACTCAGCTTGTGATGAAGAGAGTAGCCAGAACTATTGAGCTTATGGATGCGGTTGCTAAGATTAATGATCCGCAATGTGAGTTGCTACTACTCTGTGCCTGTGCAGGTATTTCCAAGCTCTATTTTGCCATGCGCACTTGCCCCCCTCATGTTTTTAATGCATCGCAGCATGCTTTTGATTTGGCCCTTCGCGCTAGTTTAGAGCGTATTGTTACCGCGTCTGGTCCCGGGTTTGGTGACTGGCAGTGGCGGCTTGCCACCTTGCCTTTTTCGTTTGGAGGCCTGGGAGTCTATTGTGCTGGGGATGTTGTAAATTATGCATTTCTGGCGTCCAGGCTTCAGTCTGCAGGGTTACAGGATAAGCTTCTTCTTCCTTCTGGGATCGCGGATGCGGGCATTACCTTTGGTGATGCTTTGGAGGTGTTTAACAGGGTTGCAGATACTGACTTATTGAGCGCTTCTAGTGAGATTGCTGCCCCCAAATTCATGAAGAAATTGGCAGATATATATTTCACTCGAGTTACCGATTCGGCGGAATCTGTATTCTCCTTATCTCCTAGGCAGGTGGCCTTGTGGAAGTCACAACAAGGTGATCACGCATCAGATTGGCTCCGCGCAGTCCCGATTTCTGGGTTAGGGCAAACGATGAATGGTAAGACCTACCGTGCTGTGCTCTGCTATCGGTTAGGTGTGCCATTATTTTCCATTTCCAGACCATGTTCGGCTTGCTCTTGGGTCTTTGATGGAGATATATTTGGCGACCATGCGGTGTCATGTGCCGGTGTTGTTGGCATTAAACATCGCCAAGATACTCTTTCAGATGTCTGCTTTCGCTCCGGGATCTCTGTTGGTAAGGAGGTCGATATTGGGCTCCTCGATGCGCAAGATAGACCCCTTCGCCCTGCTGACTTACTACTTTACTCATGGGATAGGGGGCTTGACATTTGCGTTGATTTGACTGGTTCCTCGCCCTTGACCCAGTTCGGGATGTCTGACTTCGTTCCGGGACGTGTTGTGGTTGATGCCGCTCATCGCAAACGTGCGAAATATAACGCCTTGTGTGCAACTAAGGGCTATGGATTTCTTCCATTCTCTTTCTCTTCATTAGGGGAGTTGCACACGGAGGCCATTGCCCTACTCAAGAGGATACATAAGTATTCTGTATCTCAGGATGCGGGGGCACGTGCCGTTCCTCATATTTTTACTCGTATTAGCTTTTTCATTGCAAAAGGAGTGGGGGCCCAGATAGTATCTCGGCTCCCCTCCAATTTCTTGTAATCATTTTGATTCCAAATAATAATAATGATAATAATAATAA